AAAAAAAAAAGGTTGAGAATTTAGAGGGTTAAAATGTTGTGGGGTTGTTAACCAATGTCATAAAACAGCATGTGTGTTACTGTTACATGAGAGACTATCTGTTATGTAAGCCTTCACCTGAAGTACAATAAAATATAAAAAAAAAAAAAAATGATCACGAATACTATGAAACTGTTTTTAAAATGAGGTATCTCTAAATATTGATATTGATTGATTAAGTGAAAAAAGATTCAAAATGTACATATGATATTATCCAGTGTTTGTCTAAAGAAAAATAAAACAACATATGTCAATGCTATAATGAGAACAAAACAAAACAAAAACCCAGAAGAATATACTCCAAGTTTCTGACTAATGTAGGGAGAGAGAGGGTGGCAAGAGAATTAGAATTCATTTACTTTCTATGTAATACTTTCTGTAATGTTTGAATTTTACATAATGAACATGAATTAGAAAAACAATTGAAACAGCACTGCAAATACCTAATACCACTAAAGGTAAGATGGAGCTGGCTAACGATAATAACTTTAAATTCTGCTATGTTAAGTTTACATTTCATAAAACAGAAACACTTGTAATTTTAATGCAGAATTTTACTTTAACTACTTGAACAAGTTACAAATATTTCTTAGGTTTAAACCCATTAGATCTGTAGTTTCTTCTTGAAAAGCAAAAAGTATACTTAATTCCTAGTTAAATTCTCAAGTATCTTTTCATATTTCATGAAATGATATACATAATTGTGAAAACTGTCATCTATAATTCCAATATACAAATATTATTAGTAAGGACATTTAAATAAAAACATTTATTATATTTTATCAAAACTCCCATAATCTCTATTAAATATAAATAAACTGCTATAGTTAAGGCCTAGAGGCAAAAATTACTCCAATATTAAAACAACTGTAACAATCTAAGACATCTGGATAAAGTCTTTGGAATGACTTTATGGAATTTAACTTAATTATAAAAGAAAAATATTATATATTGTTTTCAGATAAAAATCTCATCATGTTTTTAATTATTTAGTTTTACAGACTCAAGTTTTAGGGATTAAGAGTTATACTTCTGTGAAAAGGGTTAGGTCCTACAAGTAAATGACTCTGGTGAGGTTTATGGTCAACCTCTCTCACCACTTAAATTATTAAACCAACCAATACAACCGTAGGAAATCTCAGGCAATTGTGAAAAGCAAATTTATTTGTTCATAGAAAAAATGTACAATTATACTATCTTATCTGAATCGCTATCAAAAGCAAAGTCATTTTACTCTTTTAAATATACTGAAAGTTAAGGAACATAAACAAGAAAAAAGTCATTTCATGCCTTACTTATTCCCCATCTGTCACCCTATGAGTAAAACTTTATGATGATGAAGTAGTTTGATTCTAAACATCCAAATCACATCTGCTGTATCAATTTCATTCTACAGTCAACTTTATAGTATCTGTTGTTATTATTGCTTTTAAATTAGCTACTATGTGCAAAACATTTTGCTAAGTACTTTATACATTATCTCTAAAATACATGTGCCACAAATTTGATATAAAACTACAAAATGGGATAAAATATTTCCTTCTTGTTCTATAAACAACAAATAAGAAACAAACCTGTGTGGTCTTTCCAGAACCAGTTTCTCCCACTATCAAAACTACTTTATTCTCTTTAATTATCTTAACAATTTCTTCTTGTTTCTCAAACACTGGCAGAGATTGCCTGAAAGAATCAAATTCAGATTCTCCTCTTTTCACTGGAATCTGAGGTATACCATTATTGAGTCGTCCACTTGTCTTGCTCATTTCCCGATTTTCTTTGAAAATGAATAAAAGAAAAATTTATGATCAACATTGAAAAACAAGTATAAAAACAAAGATAGTTTCCAATTTTTTCAAATTATTAAGGCTAATTAATTCCTTTTAAGTGTTTCTTCTCTATTCAGTCTACATAAAGTTAGCAAGCAGTGCCTTAAATCCATTGTAATCCTACACTTAATATTTTTACAGAACATGTTACAAATTTCAATATCAATTAAAAGGTTAATTTCTCAACAGTATTTCTGGTGTACAGTGTTTAAAAATGCACAAAAATCAATCATCAATAACCATTAAAAACAATTTTGGTATTCTAAGATGCTCTTCAGGCTTGCTTTAAGTTTCCATCAATAATATCACAGAAAATTAAAATTTTATAGTACAAAACACAGTGTATCCAACTTGTAAAATCTGTTATGTACAATGTGAAAACACAATAAGAAAACGGAAAATACCACGTTTAAAGTTACACACTTAAGATCATGTGCCTAAATAGAATAATATTTGTAAATATAAGGCTCTAATGCTTAACAGACTTCCTAACTGAGCATTCTAGCCAACAATCACATTTAACTAAGCAAGCAGGACTAAAAAAGAGGCACGATGTGTTTTATATTCTTCACATAGCTCAAAATGTTCTCTGTGTGTTTAAAAAAGTTCCTTGATATCTGGGATCCTGCGCTTCCTATATCATGTAGACCTACTCCAACAGACGTGACAATTATGCAAATTATTTCACTATAGGTGAGAAAATAATTTTCTCATTAGGGAAGTTATTTTTCAAATAATAAAATTACAACTTCATTTTATCATCCAAATACATATTTATCTACCTTTGAGCAAATTAATGTACTGAAGACTCTGTCCCGTCTTTTACCAGAAGCTAAAGCCCCAATTCAAAATCTTACTTGTTCATGTGTCATAGCAGTATAATATAGGAAAGTCCAGGCCTTACAGTCAAATCCCAGCAATGCAGCTTATTGGCTAGTTGAGTGGACGTGAACAAATTATGCAACTTCTCGGAGCCCTAGTTTCTTCATCTGTGAAACAGGGGAAATTCTTACCTTGCAAAGGTTGCTATGAGGTCCTATATAACAAAGTGCTTAGTATACTGCCTAGCACACAATCAGTGCTCAATAAATGGTAGCTATCAGTACACTGGAGCCCTGGTGGCACAGTGGTTAAGCTTTCAGCTGCTACCCAAAAAGTCAGCAGTTTAATCCACCAGCTGCTCCCTGGAAACCCTATGGGGCAGTTCCACTCTGTTCTACAGGGTCACTGAGTCAGAATCGACTCGATGGCAACGCATTTGGTTTGGTTTGGTTTATAATATTAAAAAAAAAAAAAAACAACTTTGGTTCAACTCCATGACATGCCTTCACACTGTATTTCATTCCAAAATTTTCACAACTTTTGTTTATTTCTAACAATCTCCATTCAAATTGAGAAATCTTATTTCACCTTAGCTTTTAAAAATAAATCTAAAATGGAAAAAGAACAGTCATCAAATAATAGGATAAAGGAAGCTCCCCAGAAAATACATACCAGCTTCAACTGCAAACACATTTCCTCTTTCTGTTTTAGGCAGAAGTTCTGTACGCTCTTTATTGGTGACAGGAAATCTTTGAATTAGGCTCCTAACAGCATGTTTTGTATTATGAGTCAAATTACAGGTCATCATTGCATGAGCTGTTTCTGATCCATCTTTTTTCTTCACAGTTAGGTATCTATTTGCTCCCTTCCTGAATATTAATAAAAATCATTTATTTACTACATACAGTCAACCTGCTCACATATGATGTAAGCCTACTCAGAAAATGTATCTCAAGCAACACATTTTAAAAAATCAAAATGCTTTGGGATAAGATGCTGAAAGTCCCCTCCAAAAAAATCAGTAAAGAGGTACTTGGTGCTAAAATGGTCACAAGACCATTTTCACTTATAATTTCAAAATGTTGCAAATCCTATTTTAAATCAACAAAAAAGGCTTACTTAACCCAAAAGCATTAAAGTTTGTCTCTAGCAGGCTTCACAGTAGATAAAACATCACCAGTTAACACATGCTGGAAAGCATACAGAGGGAGACAAACCTGAACAAAAGAATCTAGAAATGATAATTAAAAAGTTATAGTTCACTGTCCAGACTATTATGTCCCACTGAATGTTTCCACAGCACGCTGGTAACGTCATACTCCCATGAAGATCTGTTAAGAGAGCCAAGTTAAGTGGTTGGACCAAAAAACCATATATTAGCATTCCTGACAAGTATTTTCGGATGCATATTATTTTTTTTAAATGAACTTTTTCAAAGTTTCTAGCCCTAGCCTTTAATTGTAAGGTAATAATGATTTATAATTTTTCTTAAGTTATGTAATATAGGAGTATTTGTTTCTTCAACTGGCCCAGGATTGACCATGCCTTTTATATAATGTTATCACAGAGGAAGTCCTCAAATGTGTTTTAACTGATTTTTAATAATACATGTCCACAACCTAGCAGCGTAGTATTGGTTAAGGGCTCAGGTTCTGAAGGCATACAGATCTAGGTTTGAATCCCAGCTCTACTACTCCAGCCGTGGGACCCTAAGCAAATTGTGGTTCTGAGTCTAAGATAATAATACAGGTATCCCTGCTTTTCCAAGTTCACTTTACACCTCTTCGCTTTTACAAAAGACCTAGATTAGTGCCTGTTTTCGCTAACCAAAAGAAATCCAAAGAGGATTTTTGCTCTTATGAAAAAAGGCGAAAAATGGAAATAGCATCCAGCGTGTGTTTTGCAGCGAGCCGCACCCTGAGCAGCAAGAGTGGCATCGCCAAGCTCCTTCCCTGGGAACTACACTCAGCATCTCAGCATCAAGCCATCATTGCATTGAACTGTGTCTGTGAGCATCTGTGCTTTATGTCAATTTATTTTGTGTATCCGTTAGCAAGATGTGTCCTAAGGTATCAGAAAAGCCTAAGAGAGCTCGTAAAGGTTTTATGTGTTATTTGGTATGATTTGGTAGGTTACTTTTTGGGTCCAGGAATGCTCAAAAATTTTTCCCATACAAATTAATGGTAATTGTTTCTTTGCTTTAGCCATTTCAGCTCATGAAAAGTTTCATAGGAACACTCTACTTCCGGATAGCGAGGGAAACCTGTAATATCTACCTCGAAGGACTATCATACGATTAAACGAAATAATACATATAAAATACAGTATTTGTTAAAGAGTAAGCTCTAAATAAATGAAAGCTATTATTATAATTAAGGAGCCCCTGAGTGGTGCAAACTGTTGAGTGCTCAGTTAACAACAACAAAAAAAAAACCATTGTCGTTGAGTTGATACCGACTCAGAACAAACCTATAGGACGTAGAACTGCCCCATAGTATTTCCAAGGAGTGGTTGGTGAATTCGAACTGCCAACCTTTTGGTTAGCATCTGAACACTTAACCACTGCACCACCAGGGCTCCGTTACTAACCAAAAAATTGTCTGTTGGAATCCATCCAGAGGCACCTCAGAAGAAAGGCCTGGTAATCTACTTCCAAAAGGTCACAGTCGTTGACCATAGGGGTCGTCATGAGTCAGACCTGACTCAATGGCAACTGGTTTGGTTTAGGTTTATTATTATAATTATAGTCAGAAAAATATCATTTCTTATATTTAAAAAAATTACCCAAAATACTTCATAAATTTTTAACCATTTGTTAATATCACTATCATATTATAGAAATACACAACACAGCTACAAATACAAAGAAAATTACATGTATAATTTTTTAATTTTCCTAATTTTCATTAGGTATTAAACTGTTCAATAATAGCTTCATTGTAAGACTGATACTGAACCTGGAATTAACCTATAAAGTTTATCTATCTAAATCTACTAAATGAGGCCTTCAATTTACTAAGATTTTTATTTTCTAAAAATTCATTACTGACTTCTTCAATGACTTGTAAACTCTCTATGGTGTCATCTATTCCTTACAAGTACTTATTGTTGTTGTTGTGTGCCATGCTTAAGTGACGCCATAGGGATGAAACAATTAAAATAATTATAACCATTTCTCTCCAATACTGTAATACAGAATTATAATTTTATTAAAGTTTGTAAAATACTAATTTGCACTGTTTTATGATTACCTAGAAACTAACAGACCAACCAGTTACCTTTATTTTTTCACTAAACTGAACACAGCTGTTTTCCTGTCATGGTTACTATTGTGGTAAATTTGTTTTCTGTGGCCTTAATGGACTAGAAAGCAACATGGAGGATCAGCCCTATAATATTTCTGTTCTAACTCCTGACAATACCCAGTACATGGCTATGAATTTACCGTGAACATCAAAAATTAACTAAACATTAACTTTGTTTAAATTCTGGCTCTTCTACTTGCTAGCTGTGTGGTCTTGGGAAAATTACTTTACCTCCTCTAAGCTTTAACTGCCTCATCTGTGATACAGGTACCAGATGTTAATAACAGAACCTACCTCATAAGATTGTTGTGAGGATTAAATGATAATCCATTTGAAGCACCTAACATAATGCCTAGTAGAAGAACACTTAACAAATGTTAGCTGCTTTTATGATAATTATTGGAAACCATAGTTCTTTTCCCCAGTGCACATCCAAAAATTCACTAACTAGAGTTCATCACTTTAATGCAACCTTCCAAGGTAGGAGGCAATGGAAGCAATAACCCAAATCTGAAAAGGGGGTTTTCTTGTAGAGTGGAGCCTTCTGATCTAAGTACAGCCCTTGGGTACCTAGTAAGCAGAGACTTCAGCAATCACAGGACAAGAAACCTGTACTTGGAAAACCTACTTTCATATACTTTATGTTTTCTCATTCCACAAGCTTTTATTTGTAAATTCCATTTAAAAGTTTATTTTGTAAATTCCATTCTATCTAACCTGGACTAAGAAGAAGAGGAAAGGGATTTTGTTTTGCTCATGAACAAACCAAAAACTCAGTAAAGTGCGCTCTTAGGACCAAAACACAGGGACCTTAGTTGGGGGAAAAAGTAAACAAACTGTTAAGGAGGTGAAGATTTTGGTTTGGGAAACTTGACTAGAGTTTCAAACAAAATTTTATACTAAAGATCACAAAATGGGTGTATTACTCCAAGAAGAAAACTTTCATTAAAAGATGAGCAATTATAAAAAATAAAACCAAACTAAATTCAATTCTTTAGGAGATGGAAAGCAAAATACAACATGTATGGCTTCATTTTGAAAGAAATGAGGGCAAAAAGGAGAAACTGATGAGAAAGAAATTGCAAATTATCACACAGGAAGCCTGAAAGCTATTTTTAAAAACCTTACAAGAAGCCCCAAATAAATTATACCCGTTGCCATCGAGTCAATTCCAACTCATAGCAACCCTATAGAACATAGCAGAACTGCCCCATAGGGTTTCCAATGCTGTAAATCTTTATGGAACAGACCGCCACATCTTTCTCCCATGGAGCGGCTGGTGGGTTCGAACCTTTCGGTTAGCAGGTGAGTGCTTAACCACTGCTCCATCAGGGCTCCTTAAAATAAACTACAGAGTATCAAAATCTTTATTAAAACAAAAAGATTAACCCTTCATTTACTATATTTAAGAAAATAGGCCTTCAAAGTTTAGGAACTTAGAAAGCTGAAGAATGAGGCAGTGAGAGACTGGAAATAGAACCCAGATTTCCTATCCTTTTCTCCATACCAGGTTGCCTCTCAAATATGTACTGAGGAACTATAATTATCAGGCACAAAAGAAAAATAGCCAAAAATCTAACTTGTAAAGTCCATAAAAAGTAAAGAGCGAAAACGAGAGAGACCCTCAGTGAGATGGACTGACATAATAGCTGCAACAATAGATTCAAAAATACCAACAGTCATGAAGATGACACAGGACCAGGCAACATTTCATTATGGTCACCATGAGCTGAAGCTGACTTGATGGAAATTACCAACAACAACAATATAAGCCAGGAATTTAATGCTGGAGAGTAGAAAAAAAATCTTTGCCCAAGAGTGATCAGAAAAGTCCATGAAATTTATGTCAAGAACAAATTTTCATATAAATGAAAAAAATTAAAGGATTGAGAAGTACATTCAAAGTAATTTAGTTCTCTATATTTTGCTGAGAAAATATACATTTTTTTTTCCTTTAGATTTTCCTGAGAAGACATACTTTCATACCTGTGAAAAGCAGGAAAGGTATTTGAAAATCACAAGGATCATTAGATAAATATTGTTACTTAGCTTGCTCAAAGATGAAAAGGGGAAGGACGGAACTAGGATGTTTCATGAGAAGGTTTGGGAAGCACAGATACTGAGGACTGGATGAGCAGGCAGGGTTGCCTTGCTTCCCTTAGCAACTCCTTCCTTTTCCTTCTCTCTCTCTGGCTCAATGTTTCCTAATCCCTCTCCTTTGTCCTAATAATTTCTTTCTTGCTCTCCCCTTCCTTAAATGTCTGTCCATTCTAGATCATGCCCAAGTGATCATGATACTGAACAAAAGCAGAGGTAGTCAATTCTAAAACAGACTGCTTTTCTAAGAGTCATTTCTAACGGTTATTTCTAACTCAACTGTTTGGAACTCAAAATCACATAAATGATGTAGCTCAGAACTGTGCATTTATAACAGGTGCTTTGTAGTGCAGGTCCACCTCTTATCTGCAATGCTGAAACCAAAAAAGCTATGAAAACTAAAAGTTTTTTCTAAGTTTGCATCAACATAATTTAGCAACAAAATATGATTCAACTGGCATGAAGGTATTTATAGTCTTAATTTATAATCTTAGTGTGAATATTCATACATTTTCCAACAGAAATATTAATGTGATTAAAGGTAACACCAATACCTTATTAGGTGTACTGCATAATATATGGCAAATGCACCATAATCCCTTTCTAAAATCTGAATCTCAAAACTTATTTGGCCCAGGTGTTTTTGCATAAAGGATTTTTATTTTCTAGTACTGTGTTTTACCTACTTCGAGGACTATAATATGAGCATGCTCAAGAACCTAACCAACTACACATTCACCTAAGCTAAATCCCGTGTCAGTCAGTAAACTAGCACCAGGCATTCATATGCAAGACATTCATTTTTCTCAGGATTCTTCTGAAAAAATATACTTTCATCTCAGGACCTTCCTACTCATTCTTACTTAACACATACATAATGTGTGATGTGTGTGTGTGTATGCATATAAAGTTTTATTTTCCCTCTTCCTAACCTAAAAACAGGTAAGCTGAAATTTTATCTTTCTCCTCCTCTGTATCAGGAGGAACATATGGCAATGTCTACAGGCATTTTTGGTTGTCACAACTGGTGTGGTAGATGTTATTGGTACCTAGTGCGTAGAAGCCAGATACGCTGCTGAACATCCTACGATGAAAATGACGGCCCACCGACAAAGAATTCTCCAGCTGCAGGGTAATGAATTACTTAACATGGCCCTTCTAGCCATGGTCTTTGTGACTCACACATAATGACCAAGTGGGACTATGCAAATAAGGTATATGGAACCTGTGATGGCTGGGGTTATGTGTCAACTTGACTAGCCCATTATTCCCAATACTGTATGGTTGTCCTCCATCTTATGTGTTGTGGATCCTGACGTCTACATGTTGATGAGGCAGGACTGGTGTGGGGTGTGTCTTGGGTCCTTGGGTCACAGCCTTGCAAGAGGGTGTGACTCAAGTCCCATCCTTACTCAAGTTATGCCCTTCCCTGGGGTGTGGCCTGCATCTAAGGTATATGTATGGATGCCCTGATGGGGCTCTCTCTCTATCTGGATTCCACGTCCAGTTTATGATTGATTGACCTCTGTTTCTTGGGACTTGAGCCAGAGGCCTGCCATATGACCTGCCAATACTGGGATTCATTGGCCTCTGCAGCCCCATGGGCTGACAGCGCATCATCTGACCTGATCGCCAGCTTCCGAAGCCTTGTGAGCCAGCAACCTGTGGTCTAAACTTCCAGTTTGGGTTTGTCAGTCCCTGCAGGCACATGGGTTGGGAGAAGCCTACACCTGACCCACACAGATTTGGGACTTGCCAACCTCCACAACTGCACGAGCCATTTCCTTTACATGGTTTATGAGATCTGTGAGATGTTGCAGTGAATTAGGGAACCCAAAGACGGGAGGGAGAGTACTGAGGGGAGAGGGAGTAGTTGATGTTAAGATGACAGAGTGGTATAGCAGTGTGGAAAAGTTGGACAATTGGGACATCTTTAACCTCTGCCTCATAGGAACCAGCTTTGTGCTGATCATATAAAAGAAATTATTCGTTTACAAGCCCAAAATGTAATAGTGCCAATACTGAGAAACTCTGTTCTTTATCAATCTCACAATCCCTATTCTCAAAATGAAACAGCTCCACAGAATTCTAGAGTTCTTAAATTTGGATGATTCAAATGACTTATTTCCCTATGGCTCAGTCTCACTCAAAAAACAAAAAACAACAAAATATATATATATATATATGTATATATATATATATATAGTTTCTTCCTGTTCCACTTTAACCATTTCTTATCATTAGATTGTTGACTTGGTAGGAAAGAAAACAATGAATATGTGATCTAAAGCTTGCCATTATAGTACCATTATATCAAAAGAGATAGGTTCTATAAATAACTGTACTTAGCATTTTTGCATTCATTCTTTAAAAAATAGGTATTTGATTTCTATCAAAAAAAAATAATATTTTTCTCAAGCAATCAGCTTCAAGTTTTAAACTATCTTTTCTTACACTTCAAAAACTTAGCTTTTGCTTTTTTTTTTTTTTTTTGCCCCAGGCCTGGGGAGCACAAGAGGAAGACAACTGAATTGGGTACAGACTTGATCAGTTTATCTACATGCAGGTAATTAAGAATGTGAATCTAAAACAGTAATAACTATTTAAATGTAGCCAGAAATATTTCTCTTTTTTTGGAAATAATCTTTTTCTTTTTAAATAAAAAAAGCTATCAGCTTACCCTTTACTTTTAGAAACCAAACCAAGAGACTGACTCAATCGATGAATAAAGGCTCTTTCAGTACTGGTCAAAGAAGAAGGAAATTCCATTTCTATATGGAAAAAGACATGAAATAGTCAGTACCACTTCTGGATAGGCAACTTTCTTTCAAGGTGCTTCAATATACACATACATGCAAAATATGAAATAAAAAAAATTAAATTTATTCCTATCAAATTTATGGTATGTAGATATTAACTCAATAACTACTCAAAGTCTACTAGAATTTTGATATTAATAAAATTTCATCTATGTATTAAACCTAAATGTGATAAAGGACTCTGATGTTCATCAAAAAGGACTCTTACTTGTGCTGTAATCTTGACTTGGTATAGGTATAATGACATATTTTACTATCTTAGTCCTCACTTGTTTAACAAAATATTTATTTTCCTCAATGATGAGGTATGCTCAAGCATTATGAAAGCTCAACATCAAACTCAAGTTGCTTTGCTTTTGAAACTTCAGAGAATTCATATTTCAATATTTCAGTCTGAATTTCGTAGTTATATATTGCTGAGGTCTTACATTTGTTTGATGTAAGTTCAGAATCACTCTGTTCAGGTCATTCCGTTTTGGACTGTAAGGTTCCAGAGGTAAGGGGTCCCCTATTTAACCCAGCAACTGGGAATGAGCACTCAATATACACTGTACAGATCACCACAGGTTGGCTGCTGGTTCTGCATTCTGCGACCCAAGACAAGTAGCTTTATAACCTTAAGAGGTGTGGTAGACGCTTTGTATGCCAAAACAAGTTTGACTTTTTAAACTATTCAGTGTAATGCTTCTAGGATTTGAACAAAGCACTACACACTGCCAGTGCGTTGATTAATGTATGATTTTCTTCTACCCTTCTACTTACCTTAAACATGACTCTGTTAAGGCTACCATCTTTTACTTTAAAAAAATAAAAAAAGATATCAAATACCTAAAAAACCGCGGCTTAGCTTCTCCCGGTAGAAAGAAATGCCTCCCACAAAGGTAACTGACCTTTTTAACTTCTGACGCCAGGCAAGTGCCCCGTAACCCTACCAATGCGCAGGAGGTTGTTCGGTTCTCCACATCCCACCCATGGCGAACCACCGCGGTCCCAGCCCCCGTCCCGCTTCCGAGGCAGCAGAAGTAGGGACGTCGCCGGCTTACTCGGGTGGGTTAGGGTTGGCGGCCCAAGTCCTCTCTCCCTGTGAGGCTGGAGGGGGCAGCCCGCTCACTCTGGGGGTCCAAGTTCGGGGGGACGCCAGCCAGCAGGGTCCCTGTCAGGAACCTCACCTCTCTGGTCCCCGTATCGGAATCGCTCCAGGGCGATATTGACTGCGATCTTCACCTCCTCGTCGATACGAATGTCCTTCAGCCCCTTAGCCCGGCCACCGCCCCCGAGGCCACACTGCGCTGGGCCGCCCCCTCCGCCGCCGCTGCCGCCGCCTCCACCGCCGGGAGCTGGAGGCCGCGGAGAGACGCTACTCGGCCTGGACATGGTCCTGAGGAGAGATGTTCTCTCGGCGGGAGAGCGGCCCAGGCCTGAAGGCTGGCGGCCAATGCCAGGGGCAGTGGTCCTCGAAGGCCACTGCTGGGACCTGACGGGTCTGCAGGCAGCCTGTGCCGGGTCGGAGTCACCGCAAAGCCTCCCAGTCACCAGAAGAGGCGAGGAAACGCCGTCGCCACTAGATCCCCGGCGAGATCGAAAGCGCAGGCGTGGTGACGTCACCAGGGCCGCCGGCGTGGGTGACCTCAGCTGGTCTGCTGCGTCTCGCCACGCCGCCGCTGTATACCAAGCCGGTATTCTGCGTCGTCTCTCTCCTTTCTCTCACGAAGGAGTCTCGTTCATTCTTTTATTGTCCCTCATTTGGTTAAAACCTTTATTAAGTCACTAAATAAGCAAGTGTGGGCTCCTGCTATGTGCCTGGCACTATATGCTAGTCCCTTGATACACTTTGGGGAACAAGATAGACAAGGTCCCTGACCTTGTGGGATTTATATTCTAGTATGTGTAGAGTTGCCAGATTTAGCAAATAAAGATACAGGATACCCAGTTAATTTGAATTTTAGATAACAAGGAATTTTTTTTTTATCCTAAGAATTTCCCATGCAATATTTTGGACATATACTAAAAAATTATTTATTGTTTATCTGAAATTCATATTTAGCTGGTCATCTGTATTTTGTCTGGCAACCTAAGTGGAGAGGAGAGGCAACAAAGAAATATGGTAGATGATTAAAAGATAGTGATAAGTGCTATATAATGTGATGGAATGGGACCCTTTAATTTGAAAGATCAGAGAACGGTAAGAGAACTTTTACTTGCTTGTATACAGTCCCACTAACTAAACCTGATCCTAGCCATCATAGCTGCTTCCTATCATCCAATCTCCAGAAAGCAACCAGAATGATCTTTTAAATATATAAATTAGTTAGGATTACACCCCTATCAAAGCCCTCCAATGGCTCCTCATTGCAACTAGAACAAACCCTCAATTCCTTATTATGAACGTAAGTGATTGGTCCTGACTATCTTCATGATCTCATCTCCCACCACTTTCACCCTCACTTTAAATTCTCAGAAGTAATAATATTTTTCTGTCTTTCGAACATGTCGAGTTTGTTACCATCTGAGTTTATACTTGCATAGTTTCCTACTGCACAGGAGTCTTCCAGAACTTCACATGGACATTTGTTCCTCATCATCTAACATAGGATCTCATCCTTTACCTAGACAGGCTCTCTCACCTCAATCTGTTATCATTTGCAACTGTTTGAAAATATTTTATTTATTATTTGCTCTTAGCACTAGAATATAAGCTCCTCAAGAGCAAGGACCTTGTTTATTTTGTTTGTCATTGTTTCATCCACACCTAGAACTATAGGCATGCAATAAATATGTATTAGTTGGCCATATTTTAGAATCTGGAATTAGAATTGGTCATCTCTGCCCTCAGAAAACTTTAATCATAATCTTTAAACTACTAGTATCTTTGGCTGACTACTAGAAACAGTAGTGAACAAGCAGAAATAGGTCCTCATCATCACCGTGGCATGGTCACTTCGATCATTTAGGTTGTGTGTTAACTTGGCTGGGCCATGATTCTTGATGGCTTGGCAGTTATGATGTAATTTGGCAGTTGTATAATGATGTGATCGCCTCCATGATGAGATTTGATGTAATATGATAACCTCCATGATGGGATCTGCTGTGAGTAGCCAATCAGTTGAAAGGGAGTTTCCTTGGGGGTGTGGCCCACATCCAATATAAGTGGACTTTCTGACAAGGCTAGTGTGCTTTTGCTCACACTGGATCCTGCAGCTGTCTCCTGTACCTCTGACTTCTGGTTCTAGGGGACTTGAGTTAGCAACTTACCTCCCGTCTTGCCTACCCATCTTTGGATTCGTCAGTCTTCACAGCTTATGAGCCAGAGCCCTGCTGTCTGACTTGCCAGTCTTAGTTTTGCCACCCCCTGTGGCTATGTGAATCAGGAGAAGCATCCAGCCTGATCCATGTTCCAGCCTCTACAACCATATAAGCCATTTCCTTAATATAACTCTTTCTCTATGTATGTATGTATATACTTTACTGGTTTTGCTTGTCTAGAGAACCCAGCCTAAGACAGTCACCAATGAACTGGGTGAACATTTACTGCTACTTTGATCTCAATATATCATAATTTCCTTAGCTGTGCAATAATAAAACCTTTCCCAGGGACACTGTCTTTATTTTCCCTAATCTCCACATGAAGTAGTTCTATTACTATATAAACCATATGAAGTACCCAGTTCTACTAAAAACCATATGAAGTAGTTCTATTACCCATGACACAAATGAGGAAACTGAGACTAAATGAGATTTAAAAACTGGCCCAACATCATGCTGTTGGTCATTACTGGGGTAGGGATGGAAACCAGACCAGCAAATCATGAAAGGCAGCTTCATTCTAAGATAAAACATAGAAAGTGCATGATATCTAGATGCATCAAATATATTATGATAAAACTGAAAACACTTTTCATGGGGTCAGACACATTGCTGCCAATCACACTCCATCACTTCTTAGTTCCCCATCATTTATTAGCTTTGTAGGTTGAGCTACTTAATTAGCCCCCGTGAGCTTCAATTTTCTCATTCTCAAATGGAAATATTTAAGACTCATTTTATAGCGCTGATATGAATAACACATATGTGAACTACGTAGCAGTCATTAAGTATTGAAATGCCTAAATGTTTGTATCCCTAGTGTGTAGCAATAGTATGGAACATGTTTGAAATAAAAGAGAATAATGACTTGCCTAAAGTTACGTAGCAATAAGATACAAGGTTGGTCAAATTCTACATTCTCTAATATTTTTGTATACCCATAGAACTTTCTAGGTGCTTAGAGTGTGTGGTAGATTAATTACTTTTGTGTGTGGCCTTTCTAGCCATGGTCTAGTAAAGGTAACTGCGTGATAGGGTAACTGTGGCCTACCAAGGGGATCGGTCAGTCTTGCCCTATAAAAGAGCCAATTCCAGAGCAAAGGTAGGAGCCCACCACCACCAAGGAAGGCTAGATCAGCAGGAGAGACCTGGCAGCAGGAGATGGTGTGGTGGGCTTCCCAGCCCACAGAGAGAGAAAGCTGAGTGCCTTTGGGCAGAGGCCTAGGGCCAGGGAGAAGCATGCCTGCGAGCACAGCTGGGGAGAGGCTGTCCGGATGGAAGAACTGTATCCTGAGTATTCCTGAGCCTGAACTGTAACTATTACTCTCCAATAAACCCTATAACCATGAACGTGGTTTGTGAGTTCTGTGTGGCCATTGCAATGAATAATCGAACCCAGCAGAGAAGTAGCGAGTGCTGTGGGAGGGACGATTGATGTCAGAATTAGTAAAGATAGCAGAGGGAGGAGGCAAGTCTGACCTCCGCCTCACGGGAATCAGCCTTGGGCTGTTGATCTTGACTCTCCTTACCCCTTGTGAGGTTAGAGGAGGTCAGACACTGCCCCCATGATGTTTTTACAGAGCGGAACATTGTAATTTTACTTTTTACATGTGTTTCAGAGAAAAATTAAAGGTAGGGAGGTATAAAATATTTACAAAGGATTTCAAGTTATCTTTGTTTTTACTATTTTATAGTTGTGTGGTCTAAAGCAAGGTATTTAACTTTCCTATGCTTTTGTTTCCCCATTAGTAAAATGTAGATGATGAAACACCTTCATCACAGAGTTGTTATGGGGATTAAAGTATCTTAAATTACCTTTATGCAGATAAAGTGCTTAGCACAGTTCCAGGCTCATCCTTCACATTCAGTACTGGTTAAGATGCTTTGGCTTCAAGTAACAGAAAATCCAAGCCAAAAAAGGCCCCCAAATAAGGACATTTATCATCCAACATAACAAGAATGCACACAAATGTTTATAGCAGCTTTATTTGTAATAGCCAAAAACTAGAAACAACCCAATGTCCTTCAACTGGTGAATGGTTAAACAAACTATGATATACCCATATGATGGAATATATTCGGTACTAATTGTTGTTAGTGCTATATTCAGAACAAACTATTGATACATGCAACAACTTGGATGGATCTCAAGGAAATTATGTTGAGTGAGACAAAATCCAATCTCAAAAGATTACATACAAAATGATTCCATTTATTTAACATTCTTGAAATGCCAAAATTATAGAGATGGAGAACAAATTAGTGGTTGCCAAGAGTTAGGGAAGAGGAGGAAAGGAGGGCAGTGACAATGGCTAAAAAGGGTAACACGAGGGAGCCTTGTGATGGAACTGTTTTATACGTGATAAAGTTGCATAGAACTAAATACACACACACACACACAAATGAGTGCAGGTCAAACTGGTGAAATCTGGATAAGGTTTGTGGATTGTATCAGTATCAATTTTCTGATTGTGATTTTGTACTACAGTTACCTCATACCACCAAGAAAGAAGCACCAGGAGCAGAGCGTGTCCTTTGGACCCAGGCTCCCTGCACTGAGAAGCTCCTAGACAAGGGGAAGATTGATGACAAGGACCTTCCCCCAGAACCGACAGAGAGAAAGCCTTTCCCTGGAGCTAACACCCTGAATTCAGACTTCTAGCCTCCTAGACTGTGAGAGAATAAATCTCTGTTTGTTAAAGCCATCCACTTGTGGTATTTCTGTTATATTAGTACTAGATGACTAAGACACAGCAGTTCTGGGCTGGAACTTTACTGGAATCTGAGTAAGGCACCAAACAGTTCTCCTACAAATATGTTCACAGAAAACAGAGAAAAAAAGATTACCTTTTGACTTTTGATTTTCAAAAGCCTACAGTCTGGGAGAAACGTAAATAATACAGGACAATAGATTTGGGAGAAAAACAAATTCAAGGCTAGACTTCCCACTACTAAGGTTAGAAAATAATTTTTCAGACTTGAGGGAGGAGGAAGTTATGTTCTTACATACCAGTGAGTCAGTAAAAAACTATCCTGAGCCCTGCTCCTCAATCCCCTATAGGGAAACAAAACAAAAGTCTCAGGTGGTTTGGGAGATCCAAGAACATATGACCTATGCCACTTTCCCAGGTATAGGCCTAGAGAGGCAGGTAAGGAAAGAACAGTGGCACAGTGTGTCTAGGCAGGTGGGGCTCAGTGTGATGTACAGCAGCAGAATAATTCCTGGTGCCAAAGAGGGGTCCAGAAAGGACAGAGAGATAAACCAG